CCAACTATCCATCAAACCAATACCTTCTCCAATCAATGAATTATAAATGAAAACATGAGCAAGCAGCTAAAACCCTATGATGCATCCCAACTCAAGGAATGTATGAGGGGAACGACGCTTAACCTTCGACAAAAAGAACTCACTGAACTTCCAGAGGCTATCCACTCTAAAGAGTTTTTCAAACTTGTACCAAAATTAGAATGGATAGACATTCGCAATAATCAAATAGAAGCTATCCCCCAGTGGGTGGACGAGCTTCCCAATTTAAAAGCCATGCACATAGCCAGCAACCCCATCGAAAGCATTGATAAAATTAAAACTAAAAAAATTGTTCCAGATGCGAAACAATATTGGAAGCTGGGCTTGCAAAAGACGGATTGTTTGGGGATTGATTTAGATTCAAGTGAACCTGAAGAACTAAAACTGCTTGACCAACTGCATCCCGAATGGTTAGTGCTCCGCTGTAAAGGATATTTGATAGGAAGATATGGACTCTTAGAAGAAATGCCCGCTCAACTCATGCAATGCCCTCATTTACATATTTTAGATCTTTCTTACAATCAAATCAGCAAAATAGAAAACTTAGACTCATTAACCAACCTCTCTCAATTAAATCTTTCTATTAATCAAATCAGCAAAATAGAAAACTTAGACTCATTAACCAACCTCTCTCAATTAAATCTTTATACTAATCAAATCAGCAAAATAGAAAACTTAGACTCATTAACCAACCTCTCTCAATTAAATCTTTCTTACAATAAAATCACCAAAATAGAAAATCTAAACTCTTTACATAATCTCTCTGAATTAAATCTTTCTTCCAATCAAATCACCAAAATAGAAAATCTAAACTCTTTACATAATCTCTCTGGCTTATATCTTTCTTTCAATCAAATCACCAAAATAGAAAATCTAAACTCTTTACATAATCTCTCTGACTTATATCTTTCTCGTAATCAAATCAGCAAAATAGAAAATCTAAACTCTTTACCCAACCTCTCTCAATTAAATCTTGATTCCAATCAAATCAGCAAAATAGAAAATCTAAACTCTTTACATAATCTCTCTATCTTAGATCTTGATTCCAATCAAATCAGCAAAATAGATGAAACGAGATTAGATTCTATCGAAAAATTAATGAAGCAACTTAGTAACTTAAATATACACGACAATGGATTTGTTGTTGACGATGATTTAAAATTAGAGTCGCATGAAAACCACCTCCCTGCTATAAAGAATCTTATCTTAAAATTAAAAAGTGATATAGAAATTATCTACCCCAAAAAAATTTTAATGTTAGGCAACCACGCAGCAGGCAAATCTTCCTTGGTGGGGTATTTAAAGAACAATGAACTCATTAACGGCAACTCAAGTACTCATGGCCTGGAAGTAGTCCCCTTTCGTCACGATCATAATAATAGTAATGAAAAGTCTCCCGATGCAATATTTTATGATTTTGGAGGACAAGATTACTATCATGGCCTCCACAGAATGTTCATCAGCCGGGATACATTGTATATGGTTGTGTGGAAGAAAGGCAGTGATGAAAATAAAATTGATTCCGACTCTAATGATTTATCCACCATCCATTTTACATTAAACTATTGGCTATACCAAAAACAGTATTATGAAAAACTCATAGGAGTTAAAAAGGAGAAGCCCAATCCTTACTTTCTTATACAAACCCATGCAGATACAGATACGAAAATCCACAGAGGAGAAGTGATAGAGCGCCTCATCGAGCAATTCTTTATTTGTTTGAGCAAAGAAGCTCAAGAAGGCATGGACAATGGAACAAAAAATATTAATGAAAAACAATTAGAGCTACTAAAAGCATCTTTATCAGGATCTTTGAAATCTAAAAAGAAAAAAATCCTAGACTGGGAGAAAGAATTTTTAGAAAAAATCTATGAAATACAAAATAAAAATCAAGAAGAAGGATATGTCACTTTAGAAAAGTTGAAACAAGACTATGACATACCTAAGGGTTTTAGTTTAGAAGCAGAGCTCTCACGATTACATAGAAATGGATTAATTTTATATTATGGTGATAATGAGAAATTAAACGACAAGGCATGGCTTAATCCTCAAAAATTAGCTCATTCCATCCATACTGAATATCTTTCAAAAGAACTTTTTACTAATAAAGGAAATGCTAAAACTGGAATTTTAACTGAAAAACAAGTTGAGGAAATTAGCCAATCTGATGAAGGAATCTTGCCGTTGCTTCTTGAACAAAAACTAATGTTCCGGGATGGACATAATCAACAATACATAGTCCCTAACTACCTACCTTTATGCAACAATGATCCTTCTTTTAAAATGTTAACCCTATGGCTTGACAACCCAACCATTACCCTAAAATTTAAAAATTTCCTCCCGACCATCATCATTAATGAACTGATTTGTTTTTTTGGCAGCTTACCCGATAAAAAAGAATTTTGGCGAGACACACTGTTGTTCACCTTGAATTTTAAAGGTAGTCGCTCCGATCCTTCAGATGACAATCAATATAAAATATTAATTCAATTAGATTTTGAAGCGCTCACCATCAAATTATTCATAGAAAAGCAGGGGGGTAAAAATATAGAAAACTGCGAACACTATTTATTTTATTGCATAGTGGCATTTTATTGGGGACAAACACCATGCCCGTACCCTGAATTCTTATCACTTAAAAATAACTCTGACAAAAACAAACAAATAAATGAAAACATAAATAATTTATTTACACAAGAACAATATGACATACCCGATTTATACCTTTCCCGTGATGGCAATCACTTTATTTCTCATCAAGAACTCAAGAACCATTTAGAAGGTGATATTAGCACTGAAATACAAAGTTATCAATTTAATAAAAATAATACACAAGGAACTCCCTCCCAATATCTTACAAGACGTGATTTCCAATTCTCTGTATTCCGATCATTACCCAAGAAAAAAAGAATATTTTTATCCTATTCGCATAAAGATACGGAATATAAAAATGAATTGAAGAAACAGTTCATCAATCTTGAAAGAAATAATAATATTGAAATTTGGTACGACAAGGAAATTAAGACAGGTGACAATTGGGATAAAGAAATAAAAGAAAAACTCGATGAATCATTCATTGTAATCTTTATATTCACTCAGAATTTAATTAGTTCTAAGTATATATTTGAAAATGAATTAAAAATTGCACTAGAGAGACACCTCAAGAAAACAGCAAGAATTTTTCCGATCTTAGCAGAATATTGTGATTATAAAAATGTCAAAATTAAAATAGATGATGATAAAAGTGTCAACATTAAAATAGATGGTGAGTGGGAAAAATTATGCAAGTATGAGTTTACGCCTAAAAATAAGAACAATGATTTAACCCCAATTAATGAGTGGGATCATAAAGGAAGAGCATGGGGTGAAGTGCGTAAGCAATTGGAAGGAATTATTTGATTCATTACAATAATTTATAACTATTCATCCGAATATAGATTATTTTCATTGGCTTATTTTAAATATGAAACACATGCATTTATTACTTTTTGTTACTTGCCTTTTTATAATATTCAGCTGCACTAAAAAGACAACAACTCCCCTCTATATTCCTGCTATCATTGATACGATTGACGGAAACCCTGTACACTTATCATTGCAACATGGAAAGCATGAATTTTATCCAAGTGTAAAAAGTGACACAATGGGTTTTAATACGAGCTACTTAGGTCCTACCATTCGACTACATAAAGGAAAAAGTGCAACAATCCAATTTAAGAATAATATAGGAGAGCCGACCACTGTTCATGGTCATGGCTTGCATGTCGATGGTAATATTGACGGAGGTCCTCAACTTGCCATAGCGCCCAATACCACATGGGAAATTGTTATTCCAGTGCAACAAGAAGCAGGTACCAGCTGGTATCATCCACATTTAATGCACAAAACAGCTAAACATGTTCACTCTGGATTGGCAGGGCTCTATTACATTGAAGACGAAAATTCGAAATCACTCGATCTACCTAAGACTTATGGTGTGAATGATATTCCGATTATTGTTCAAGACAGGTCTTTTACTAAGGGGAAAATGAATCCTTACCATGTAGGTTCTCAGGACATGATGGAAGATGGATTAAGAGAGGATACCTTAGTAGTGAATGGAACCATTAACCCTTATCATGTTGTTCCCAAAGGATGGGTAAGGTTACGCCTACTCAATGCTTCTAATGCGAGATTTTACCGCTTTTATTTAAGCAATAAACAATCATTTTATAAAATTGCCACAGAAGGTGGTTTTTTGAACCATCCCGTTGAAATTTCTGAAATCACTATGGCTCCCGGTGAACGCAATGAAATCATGTTGAATTTATCAGATATAAAAAATGTTTCTTTAATGGCAGAATTCCTACCTACTGACGATGATGTTTCATTTTTTATACAATGGTTCAATAAAAAATCCATTGTTGTAGAGCTTCGCACAGATAGTCATTTGGAAAGATCTGCGACATTGCCAGATAAGCTAAACAACATCCAGTTTTTTTCTCAAATAGATAAAGAAAAAGCAGTAAAGAGAACCTTTTTTCTTGGAATGGGCGATGATGATGTTGAAGAAACAGATGAGTTAACATTCACTATAAATGGCAAGCCAATGGACATGAATAGGATTGATGTGAGGGTCAATAAAAATGAATTAGAACTTTGGAGCATTACAGGAGATGACATGCCCCACCCATTTCATGTACATGGAGTTTCTTTTTTAATACTAACACATAATGGAGAACCACCTGCTGAAGCTGATAGAGGATGGAAGGATACTGTGGTGGTAACAGAAGATAATCCCACCGAAATACTTATGAGGTTTAATCACACTGCAAGTAAGCAGAACCCATACATGTTTCATTGTCACATTTTAGAGCATGAAGATAATGGAATGATGGGGCAGTTGACTGTTGAATAACTCATTAATAAACCATTAAGATAGGTCCATTAATATCATTAACCTGAAAATCCCAGCTCCAAAATCATTTAGAAAAATTTCTATGACGACTTAAGAAACTGAATCGCCTTCTTTCTTTGGCGATCTGTGACTTGTCTATTTCAACATCGAAAGATCCCATCCTTCTGCCAAGTTTGCGAATCACCTTCCCAGCAGGAGAAATCACCATTGATCCCCCCTCAAATCGCTCGCTTCGATCCTCACCCACTCTATTGCATCCCAGTATGAAACACTGATTTTCAATCGCTCTCGCCTGCAACAAGGTTTGAAAAACCTCAGTTCGAGGATAGGGCCACTGCATAGGCACAAAAATAATATCTGGAGAAGCATCACGATGGAGATTGACAAGTAGTTCGGGGAACCTGAGATCGTAACAAATAATAATGGCTGCTGAAAAATTATCTATCTGAAAAACTTTTAACCGAGTGCCACTTGTCAAATTCCCCACCTCATTCATCAATGGGAAAAGGTGTATTTTAGAATAATCGTGGATGATCTTTCCTGACCGATTAATCACCAAGGCGGTATTACGGATTGTCTCATCTTGAATGGATTTTGAAAGACTTTTTGTGGTCCTCATTAAGGGGAGACTTCCCAAGATAATGTTAGTGGAAGTTTTTAAGGCGAGGTTTTGGAAGAATTTTATTTCAGGGGATGACTTTTTAAAACTGCGAGTGCGAATATTTTTCATTTCATAAAAACCCGTCAAAAACATTTCGGGAAAAATAAGTACATCCACATCCTCAAGACTTCTTCGAATAGAAAGTTGAATGGACTGCTCATAGTTGTCTTGGATGGACCTCACAATATCCATTTGAATCATTCTAATTTTCATCTTGCTCCTCTTCCATTTTTTCTTGACTGATAGTTAGGTGAATTTTTAAAATAGCGATCCATGTGCTGCTTAAAAAATTTACCGATACTGTCAAATTCACAGTTCACTTGATCATTCACCCGCAAGTAATGAAGGTTGGTGCTTTTCCATGTGTGCGGGATGATCATCACTGTCAATGCACTCGCCGTTAAACCATAAATGGTTAAAGAAATTCCATTAATCGCAAGCGACCCCTTTGGAACCAAGTAATCTTGATCTTTCTTTGAAATTTTAAAAGTTAAAAGATGCGATTCCAAATCATTTTGAATTTTAGTTAAAACCAAGGATTTATCCACATGACCATAGACAAGGTGACCGCTGATTCTCCCACCGTATTCAAGCGACCTTTCAAGATTGATCCACTCATTTTTTTTTAGCTCCTTTAAAGTTGTAACCTCTAAAGTTTGCTGGGAGGCAAAAAAACTGAATTGCGTTTTCTTGCAATCAGTAACCGTCGTACACACTCCATTGACTGCAATTGAATCACCTATTTTCAAGCTATTGGACAACTTGCTTGAAATAGTAAAAGTTCTTCCTTTGCTTTTTTTGATTCCTTTGATTTTTCCTAAATCTTCAATAATGCCATTAAACATTATCAATCCCTTTTCAAAAACTCGCCATTTCCCATGACTTGCATCCCGATTAAGTTAAGTGAATCGATGACTGCATGACCTATCTCCATGCCCTTGTCCATCAAACTAGCCCCTCCTCCTGTTAATAAAACTTTCGCTTCAGGGTTAGGAGAACTTGAGAAAAAATGACATTGTATTTTTTTAATCAAACTTTGGATGCCGTACAAATAAAAATAATAATTTCCTGTCTCTATACACTCTTGTGTGGATTTACCAAGAAAAAAAGAAAACGGTTCAAAAGCCTTAGGTTGAGTTAACGGCAATTGATGTGTGAAAGTCGGTAAAGAAAGCATTAAGGTGTAAATGCCAGGAAGAATGTATCCCCCTAATGAAGAATGGCTATCAAGAACTTCCACCGTGGTTGCTGTGCCGAAATCCACCACAATAGCTGGAAGATCTAACAAGTGTCTTGCTGCAACAATATTGAGAAGGCGATCCAATCCCAAATTCTCGAAGGGATGATAATCAATGGAATAGTGAGAAACAAATTCTTTAAAACTTGCATGAGAAATCACATCAACTTTTTGTTTTAAAAAACCCTCTATTTCTTTTTGAACCCAATCAGTCAATGACGGAGCAACTGATGCAAGCAGTATTCTTTGACACACTCTATCCTTCTTGAATGTACTAATTTTTTTTAGGACATTGATGAGATCGGATCGAATGGTTTGAGGATGGATGGCATGTGGCAAATCTAATGATTGGGTTTTCACGTGATAAACGGTTGCTGGTTCAAGACCCTTTTCAAAAATGGCAATGGAAATATTGGAATTACCCAAGTTGACTGATAAACGATAACTCATCGGGGTAGCTGTCAAGAATTTTTTAATTTGTCAGTTAGTAGCTTAACTTTGCTAAAGGTCGAAAGGCGGGAAAATTCAATAATAAACTGAGTGCCATTCGGGTAGTCTGGATTGAGAATGATTTCACCATTATGTTCTTGTACGATTTTAGAAATAATGGATAAACCGAGACCCGACCCCATTTTCTTTGAAGTGTAGAAAGGTTTGAAAATTTCACCCATTGCATTAGTATTAATACCAATGCCATTATCCGATAAGGTAAGAACCATTTTTTCTTTATATTCCTTTGTCTTGATTTCAATCTCTCCACTATCTAAATTTTCTTTTTCGAGGATCGCTTCAATACTGTTTTGAAAAAGATTAATGAGCATTTGCTTAATCTGATCTTTGTCCAAAAAAAAAGATTCAAGATCATCATCGAGAAAGAGTTTAATTTTTATTTTATTTTCTTCACACTTGATCTTAAACAATTCAACCACCTCTTGAATAATTTCATTCAAGGACTGCGGCTCTTTCTGCGGCTTAATGGGACGAAAGGAATAGAGGAAGTCATTTGCAATAGCTTCAAGGCGAGTCATTTCCTCACTGATTACATTAACTAGTGAAGTTAGTTTATCTTTAGACTCAATTTGATGACTCTTAATAAACCTTGTAATCAACTGAAGATATAAATTCATCGCTGTCAAAGGATTTTTTATCTCATGGGCAATTCCAGCTGTTAGAGTGTGAAGAGAATCAATCGATTTTTTTTGGTCTTCTTCCAATTTCTTGTTTTTCCAATCGGTAATATCGTTTAAAACTAGTATCCTTAAATCTCCAGATTTCAAATTTGCAGAACCTTCTTCTTTCAAGACATTTAATAAAGAAACGTTTTTCTCAGAGGAAAATGAATGAAGACTAATAATAATGTTCTTTAAAACTTTATCAAAAATACTAATTTCGGCATACTCGGAAAAACGGTTGGAAGAAAGCATTTCCACCAAGGTCATTTTTAATTCATTATGCCGACAGGACTCCAATAAGTCTTTCCCTTCCAAATCTACACTATGGTAGAAAAACAAGTGTGCAAATTGATTGCAAAAAAGTATCTGATTTTTTTGATTAAAAATACAAATCCCATAAAAAATAGAATTAAGAGCAGATTGTAAAATGTTTTTTTCTTTGAAAAACCTTTTTAGAAAGCGTTCTAATTCATTGGCTTCAATGCGATTTAAATTTTTAATAAGAGATTCTTCAAAAGCTTGGTTCATTTTAATTTTTTACAATCATGCACATGTTTTGATTCTGTAACACCCACTTATTTTTCAAAGAAACTATCCAATTGATAATAATTTCTTTTCTCCTCCAAAAAAAGATGAATAACCCAATCAAAATAGTCTATTACTATCCAATCGTAACTTTCTTTTCTCTTGCTATGAGAAATCATTTCAAGACCTTGTTTTTTAAAGAAAGATTCTATTTGATTGGCAACAGCCTTAACATGGGTTTGGGACTGACAAGTTAAGATAACAACCCAATCGGTGTAAGAAACTTTATCAGAAACATGATAGAGTTTAATCGATTTCGCTTTTGCTTCATCCAATAATCGACAAAGCTCACCTAATACTTTTTCATGGTTTTGATTAGAACGCTTTTGATGAAGGATTGCTTTTTTTGTTTGATCCGTATTAATTTCGTTGGTCTTGGACTGCATAGAAGTCTTCTCCTAAATAAACCGAAAAATCAAATAATTCCCGATAAGTAAATAAATGATAAATTTTATCAACTTTAGTAACTTTTTTTAAATAACTCCTTTTAAGAGGTGAATTTGAAAAATCTAAAATTAAAGACTTTTGAAGAATTTTTGAAAAACTAAGGTACTCCAAAACATTAACTCCTCTTAGTCGGAAAACCCCTGCTGCCCTTGCGCCTAACCTTTTGATACCAGTAGCATTTTTAATCTGTACGGAGATGATGAAATTATTCAATAACTGCTCATCCCTGATCAACCAATTCAATTGTTGGCTGATTTTTCCGCGATCATACTCCCCTCCTAAATAAGGTATGTCAACAATCTCACTTGGAGAAATGTTAACTTGTTCCACACTGGTTTTATCAAAAGCAAACTGAATATTATCTCTGAGACTTACTGTTTTTTCCAGTTCATCAAATTGTTGAGGTTTTTTAAAAAGAGGTTCAACCAAACTTTCAAAAGTTGCAAAATTAAAGGAAGCATCCAGCATTCCAAAAAACTTTTCGATAAATAATTGCGTGTAAACTCTGTGAGGCAAACTTTCCTGAAAAGACATTAAAAGATTAAACCAAATGCTCAAAGCCGTGTTTCGCCTTTGATAAGGATTGTTGATGGCATTTAGGTAGTTCATATAATTATTTGCCGTTATATACACCTCCCCTGGTGGCAAGTAATTGGAATAAAGATTGAAAAAAGAAGTGCCTCCCCAATCATTAAGAAATTGAATAGCATCGGCATCACTAACAGCAATCTCATAGTCAAAATAATCAATGCCATAGTTTTCACGAAGATTTTTTTTTAAGAAGCGTTTATCTTTAAGAATTGACTGATATACTCCACCTCCAACGGACAACTGAGTATTAGGGTCAATTTCTAAAAGAAAGAATTTCCCTTTAGGATAATAATAGTAAAGCACCCATGCTGATAAAAGTTCATTAGTTGGGCTTGGTTGAATAAATAATTTTTCTGCATTCGGCTCATTCGTTATTAGGATGGTATAGATTTTCTCTTCATCCTCATCAATGTCAACTCGCAAATAAAAAAACCAGTACAAAAGAAGAAGAACAAAGGGAATTAGTTTTAAGAAAATCTTCAAAGACCTGAGAATAGGATCAAATGACCTCTTTATGAATAGAATACTTACTTAAGGTTTTAGAAGGGAGTAAGGTTTTACCACCTCTAATGAAAGCATCAATTTGACGGGCACACTCTCGTCCTTCCGAAATAGCCCAAACAACCAGCGACTGTCCTCGCCTGGCATCCCCACAAACAAAGAACTGCTCTTCCGTAGTCGCATATCCATTGCTACTTTCAATTCGACCAAAGTTATCTCTTTTAAGAAGAAGACTACTTGGAAGATAATCTTCAGCACCAATAAATCCCATTGCAATCAAAACGAGTTCTGCCTTCAAGACATTCCTCCTTTTCTTTTCTTGGAAACACTTTAAACCCTTATCCCATTCAACTTCCACATATTCAATACCTCTAACCTTATTATTTTCATTCAAAAATTTTTTGGTTAAAATATTAAATTTTCTCTTGCAACCTTCTGCTTGAGAACTTGATACTCTAAAGACCCTGTCGTAAAGAGGCCAAGGCATGGTTTCGTCTCTATGAGAAGGAGGCTTTGGAAGAATTTCAATTTGTGTAATACTCTTAGCTCCCTGACGAACAGATGTACCAATGCAATCTGACCCAGTGTCTCCACCACCAATGACAATGACATTTTTCCCCTTGGCACTAATTATTTCATCCTCCACATCATACCCAAGCACTTGCCGTGTTGACTGCGTA